AAAACAGCCCCAAAGCATGATGTTTCCACCCCCATGTTTCACAGTAGGTATGGTGTTCTTTGGATGCAACTCAGCATTCTTTCTCCTCCAAACACGTCGTAGTTGAGTTTTTACCAAAAAGTTCTATTTTGGTTTCATCTGACCATATGACATTCTCCCAATCCTCTTCTGGATCATCTAAATGCTCTCTAGCAAACTTCAGACGGGCCGGACATGTACTGGCTTAAGCAGGGGGACACGTCTGGCACTGCAGGATTTGAGTCCCTGGCGGCGTAGTGTGTTACTGATGGTAGCCTTTGTTACTTTGGTCCCAGCTCTCTGCAGGTCATTGACTAGGTCCCCCCGTGTGGTTCTGGGATTTTTGCTCACCGTTCTTGTGATCGTTTTGACCCCACGGGGTGAGATCTTGCGTGGAGCCCCAGTATTGAGGGAGATTATCAGTGGTCTTGTATGTCTTCCATTTTCTAATAATTGCTCCCACAGTTGATTTCCCAAGCTGCTTACCTATTGCAGATTCAGTCTTCCCAGCCTGGTGCAGGTCTACAATTTTGTTTCTGGTGTCCTTTGACAGCTCTTTGGTCTTGGCCATAGTGGAGATTGGAGTGTGACTGTTTGAGGTTGTGGACACGTGTCTTTTATACTGATAACGAGTTCAAACGGGTGCCATTAAATACAGTTAACAAGTGGAGGACAGAGGTGGCTCTTAAAGAAGAAGTTACAGGTCTGTAGAGAGCCAGAAAATCTTGTTGTTTGTCGGTGACCAAATACTTATTTTACGGTAGGAATTTATCAATTAATTCATTAAAAAGCCAACAATGTGATTTCCTGGATTCTTTCCCCCAATTCTGTCTCTCATAGTTGAAATGTACCTAGGATGAAAATTACAGGCCTCTCATCTTTTTAAGTGGGAGAACTTGCACAATTGGTGGCTGACTAAATACTTTTTTGCCCCACTGTATAACCCATTAAATGATCTCCTCTTGTCAATAAAAACTGTCGCTGTTCTTATTTTTCCTTAAGTATTGTGGCAAAAACTCGTAGCATGACATTTTGCTGTTCCTAACTTGCGTGTCACTTCCTGTGTCAATGTTCATATTGTGCAGCTCTCTGTCAACAAAACACATACAGAAATAGGCACCTCTAGGTTCATGATTAGGTTTCTATGTTAGTCCTTTGGCGCGTTCACACCAAGTACTTACCCCACATAGGTTCCTGAGAATTCTTTAGTTTTCATGAACTAAAGTACAGATCGCGTTCACACCGAAAATTAGTTCCTGAGGGAGGATTAGGCAAATGAAGCCATTGACGTCACTTCTTCTTCTTCTGCTTTGGATTTACTGGCAGGCCGCAAACAACTTCACGGCGTATACTGCCGCCCAAATCCCCGGCCGGAAGTCCCCGGAGTTGAGGACTGGCTTCAGTAGAAGCTGCTGGGACTCCCAGCAGCTTCTACTGAAGCCTTCCGATTAAACGGCCAGAACGCCGACACCTCCTCATCTCCACCGCTCCCATGTTTTATTTTGTGTTGTCATAAGTTAGTCTCTCTGCGTTTCTGCGCTGGGCTAATGCTAATGCTAATAATGCAATGCGAGGATAATAAAATGGCGGCTTCACAAAAGTTTTTGGGAGTTTGACGGGGCGTGGTTTGCATTCTGCCCAGCCAATCAGACACAGGAACCTTTTTCTCCCACGAAAGTCCCTGCTCTCTAGCAGGGACTGAAAAGGGGGTAAAAAAGGTTCTCTAGAACTAATTTAGTTCCTGGGACTTTTTGGTGTGAACGCAACTAAATCGTAGTTCTCAGGAACCTTTGTGGGAAAAGTACTTGGTGTGAACGCGCCTCTTACTGCTTCATGGTTTATTAAACCTGCCTGAATTTAATTTGCTGCTGTCTACGATAGAACACTCATGTAAGTATGTTTTTGAACATGTCATATCTGCTTTTCCTCAGCTGTTAAATGCAGTGGGGTGAAGACCCAGCCAGACTCCATGTCCCAGAATGCACGGAAGGCTCTCCTCCGTAACCTGGGAACCCCCACTGACACCCCCCCCAGCACTCTGCTGGTGAACAGCAAAGGCCTCAACCCCAGCCCCAAGAGGGCGGTACGGGACCCCAAAACAGGACGAGGTACTTCTTCACTGAGATGTGGCTTTCAGACTTTTAATAGACATGCTAACACATGTTGTCAGTTATTTAGAGAAGGTTGAGGTAGACTTTGAATACAAAAAACAAAACTGAAAGGATCATGAATGAACGCTCGATATTGATTGTGTTGCAGCGGTCCAGGAGAGGAACTCGTACGCAGTCAGTGTGTGGAAGAGGGTGAAGGCCAAGCTGGAGGGCAGAGACATCGACCCCAACCGGAGGATGAGCGTCACAGAGCAGGTAACACACACACATACACTCACGGCACATTTAATCATCATTTCACTAGCAGGTAACGGGCCACAACAATGTCATTTTAAAGATTTAATGAAGGAGGCACAATGAATGGGACATAGAGGGGGGGTGAAGGTTGATGCTGTCTGTCAGGCTGGTCTGAAGTCCAGGCACTGAGAGCCTCAGGGTGGGGTTTCTGTCTCAGGCACTCTTCTATGACATCCGTTTGTGTATTCATTCCCTGCCCTTGATATCAGATGGCAGTTGCTTACACTGGTTTGCTCTTTGTTAGCACTTAGTCATAGCATATTGTAGTATAGTCACAATAGCTTGGCACTCTACTATTACTATTTGAATAAATACTACTACTAGTCACTCTTTTTCAGCGACTAGTGGCACTTTTGTCTTACTTGTTTTTTAATTAACTAGCTAACAGGCACCTTAGACCAGTGGTCACCAACCAGTCGATCGCGATCGACCGTGTGGTTCGGGTAGATCGCGGACCCTTAAAAAAAAAAGTAACAAAAGAAAGAAAAATAAAATAAAAATAATAATGTTTGAAAAATACGTTTTTAGATGTAAACCTTATCATCCACCACCCCGTTAGCAGGTGCCACTTGATTGACGTATATTTGAGACACCTCAATAATATAATACATTAACCGTGCTTTACGTGAACCTCATCATGACACAAGAGACGACGGCAGGACTGTAATTTCCCGTGTTCAGTGAACGCAACAGAGGCAACACATCAGACCAATCAGAGAGTTGCATGGAACGTGTGCTTGTGTCATTCAAGCTCGGCTCTGTGTGTGTGTGGCAATAGCGCGTTTAGTGTGATAGAGAGGGAGAGAGGGAGTGTTTCTACAACAAGCTGGAGGAGTCCTCTCCTGTCAGACTGAGGGGCTCAGGTGAGCTAAAGGACTCTTGAGTGTTTAGAACAGTTTTGTCAAATTATTCAAAAGATTATTTCTGCGGCACACCTTCATATGATCATTATAGTTATACAAACAATAAGAGAATAAATGAAAAACAGGTATGAAATAGCCTACTATATGGCAGTAAAACAAGAATACAGTTTAATGTGATTTGTAAAATATCCATAAAGAAAAAGAAAATCTGTTTACAGTTCTGTTTCATATGGGTGCTGAGAGAGGTATCCATAGATCTCTTCATGTTGCTCTCAAAGTGCACCAGATTGATGCTTTCAACTTCAATATTTAAAAAAAAATCTTCCCGGGGGAGCGACCCCCGGACCCCCCTTGAGAAGGTGAGGTCCGCCCCCCAATAGCACTTTACCCCTGCCTATATGCCGTGAGCTGATTATGGAGCCTTCATTGTAACAGTAATTCAGATGCAATTAGCCTATATAAAATGCCTCAAATTGGAAGCATTGTATGGGCCGTCTTTTTCACTCAATTCTGCAATAGGTAGATCTCGCCTTTCACCTAGGCCGAGGTCGATGATCTTGGGCTTAAAAAGGTTGGTGACCACTGCCTTAGACGGTACCTAGAATGAGACATCCAGGAATGGGTTGAGAAAAGCAACTCATTTCAAAGTGTGTTTGTGGCTGATCAGCTGGAAGTCTCCCTGTAAGTCTCTCAGTCTGGCATATTGTCAGTACTAATATTGAATGATCTGAGCAGTGTCTGATGCTCATGTGATGGAGTGATGGTTAAACGTAGTGCGAATATTAATGCTGAGTCGCTGTGTTTCAGGTGGACGTGGTGATCAAAGAGGCCACCAGCATGGAGAACCTGGCTCAGCTGTATGAGGGCTGGACGGCCTGGGTGTGAGCGCCTGCCCCTTCATGTCTTTGTTCCAGCGAAGGCTTGGAGATCCACCAGAGTCCAGCGGGTCTGGGGTGTCGGAACAGCAGCACCGGGCCACACTGGGGGGAGCGAACGAGAGGCGGATGCTCAATCCGCTTCCCAAACTCCTGGGCACACAAACCGGTGCAGCGACCTCGTAGCACCGCTGCAACCACACCCCCCCCAACCTCCGGCGAGCGGGCTAACACACGCTTTGTGGGCCTGCCGCCCCGCCCTCCTTTCTGGGGTTTGACCAGGCAACGCAGTGCCGGATGGGGGGAGGGGGAAGGAAGGCAAACGCCTCCTCACCCTCGACTTAGAAACACCTTCCCCCCCCTCACCTGCATAGCTCACAGTCAAGTTGTACCCATAAATCAATGCATCCTGTTGAGCCAATCAGAGTCCACCTGAGGGCAGGGTGAAGCAGGAAGTGAGCCGCCTCCCTCTGAAGCACACAGCCGCCGCGCTGTGGGTGGGACTTCACCGGGGGGGCTCAGATGGGCCACTCACATGGTCACACTTGTTTTTCTCTAATCTTTTCCGTTGTGATTGGCAGCGGGTTGGCAGGAGCTGAGAGCCAAGGTTCTTCAGGATCCTGAATCCACACCACCCAGCAGCTGCAGTGAAGGAAATAAAGGGGAACAGTCAACTCGGTGTATTTTGGTTGATAAACAGTCAAAACTTTTACAGAATTGTTGATTGGAGTTGTTTTCTAAGGGAGGTTCTTTGTGCTCTGGTTAAGTGAACGGCCTGTAATGTGACTAGTTTCTGATGTCTCATCTCGTAGAGCATGAGGTGACATCACTCCACGAGGGCGGCCTCACTCTTTTTCTTGGTGTGTTTCTTCAGTCTGTGTGAGCTCTGTAACTCTTCTGTCCTTCTTTAGTTCTGTAGATGTTTTCTGCCTTTTTTGAAATGCCTGTCACAAGCTGTTGCTTGCCTCATTGACACCCCCCCCCCCATGCTTGCATTTTATTAATATTGACCTTCTAGTTTTACATTTTTAGTGGGAGAATTTATCTTTTTGGTGATGGTGCAAAATGTTAATTCTTAAAGCTTTTATTGGATTTGGTTGGATGCCAAATAAACATTGAACTATGAAGTGTGGAGTGTTTTTAATGAACAATGAGAATCCATAGACACAAGAAACCTCATTTGTTTGTATAACTCCAGCTGTTTATACAGCTTCTAGATATTACGTGGGTCTGACTCACGCCGGCAAAATGATTAGGCAATGCCCCCCTGTTACACATTGTTTCATCTGTAGGATTGTCAGATTGTATCAGTAGCACTTCTTTCTTTTTTTAGCTTTACTCATATCATGAAATGAAATAAACAGTTAGTTTAGCATTTTGCTGCCATGGTTACTACAGGGGGAAGACAAAGGCAAGGCACGTTTATTTATACAGCTCCTTTCAACACAAGGCAATTCAAAGTGCTTTACAAAAATGAAAGACAATAAGAGCATTAAGAAATAGTGCAGTGGAAACGCAAACATTAAAAAGCAAAGATAATAAAACATGAATACAAGTTACAGTGCAGTGCAAGATGTCAATAGTTCAATTAAAAGCAGAGGCAAAAAGGAAAGCCTTCAGCCTGGATTTGAAAGTAGTCAGAGTCGCAGCGGACCGGCAGGTTTCTGGGAGTTTGTTCCAGATATTGGGCAATATCCCTAAAAGCAGTAAACATACCGTTTCATTTGGACAGTATTACCTTGAACGAAAAGGGAATGTTTGGAACCAAAGTGAGGATTCAATTTTAGCATTACAGATTTAAAATAATTATATATAACTTCCAATAATATCAATGTCAATTTTCTGTCATAATCCTCACAGTAGACTTCAAAATTATGAAAAAAGGGTTACAATGTCTTTGTAAACATTCAGCTTAAACACACTTTATAAAGGGCAGCAGCCAATCGGAGGACAGAGGTTCGATGTGAGTGGTTTGGATAAAAGCTAAATAACATGTTTGTTCTGTTATCTTGTGTAAACTGGCCCCTCAGAAGTGATGGTTAGGAAGAGGACGGCTGCAGCAGGTTAATGATTACAGCGGCTCTGTTTATCAGTGTGTGTCTCCTGTATGTGAGGGGCAGACGCTCAGGAGACAGCCATGGCAGGACAGCGTGTGAGTGTGTCCGACTTCGAGAAAGAAGCTGAGAAAGTTCTTCCTAAAGCCGTTTACGATTACTACCGCTCGGGAGCTGATGAGCAGAGCACACTGGCTGACAATGTGGCTGCCTTTAACAGGTACACACACACACACACACACACACACACACACACACACACACACACACACACACACACACACACACACATACATACACGACCGAACGGACACGACGAGGGAGTAG